TGGTAGATGTAAGGATGGTGTAGATGTAGATAGTAGATGCAAGGAGTAGCATGGTGGTCGGTAGGTGTGACAGTCGGTTGGTAGTTAGTACTCAGGATGTCGTTAGTAGAGGTTAGACCAGTCGGTTGTAAAAGCTAACATGTTAGTTAGTCGTGGAAGTTAACATTTAGGCTGGTAATGCCTGGACTATCAGTATGTCACGTCAGTTAATTTGGTAGTATACTGAATAGTCATTAAGTCATGTCAGAGAGGTTAGTAATATACTGAATAGTCATGAAGTTGATGTAGTAGTAATCTGAATGAAGTTAATTCAGTAGTAATCTGAATAGTCATGAAGTTAATTTAGTAATGTAATGAAGTTCTGAATAGTCATGAAGTTAATTTAGTAGTAATCTGAATAGTCATGAAGTTAATTTAGTAGTAATCTGAATAGTCAGCAAGTCCTGAATGGCCAGTAAGTCCTGAAGTTAAGTCGGTAGTATACTAGATAGTCAATAGGTTACGACAGTTAAGTGGGTTGTCAAGTATTGGCAGTATGCTGAATTGTCAATGAGTCATGACAGTTGAGGCGTTAGTATGCTGAGTAGTCAAAAGGTCAAATCAGTCAAGTTAGTCACAGAACCTAATATATAAGTCGGGAATCTTTATCAATCGTCTTGCTGTCAGAAATGGATAATTTTTTATGGTCGTGGGAACTAACAAGCGGTTGTGGTTAGTAAAGTCAGGTTGTCATGGCATAAGTCAGCAGTCAGATTGTCAGCAGGTGGGTTGTCAACGATTAAGTTGCCGAAGCAGTTGTCAAATTATTTTTTTGACATGTCAGCTGTCAAGTCACAGTATGATTTTTCAAATTTTAGGTTGTGTTTAATATGTCAGCAGTCAAGTTGTCAGCAGTTATTTTTGTCAAGTTGTCAGCAGTTTTTTTGTCAAGTCAGCAGTTTTTTTTGTCAAGTTAGCAGTCAAGTTGTCAGCAGTTTTTTTTGTCAAGTTACCAGTCAAGTTGTCAGTTTTTTTTGTGGTTACCAGTCAAGTTGTCAGCAGTTATTTTTTGTCAAGTTACCAGTCAAGTTGTCAGTTTTTTGTCAAGTTACCAGTCAAGTTGTCAGCAGTTATTTTTTGTCAAGTTACCAGTCAAGTTGTCAGTTTTTTTTTGTCAAGTTAGCAGTCAAGTTGTCAGCAGTTATTTTTTTTTTGTCAAGTTAGCAGTCAAGTTGTCCGTTTTTTGTCAAGTTAGCAGTCAAGTTGTCAGCAGTTATTTTTTTGTCAAGTTAGCAGTCAAGTTGTCAGCTACCTTTTTTGTCAAGTTAGCAGCAGTCTTTTAACATGTATACAGTCAAGTTGTCACAGCAGTTGTCAACAGTTATTCTTTTTTACCATGTCAGCTGTCAGATTGTCGCAGCATGAGTTTTTAACAGTCGGGACTTTAACGTGTCAGCAGTCAAGTCACAAAATGAGTTGTCAGCGGTCAAGTTGTCTTCTCGTGAGTCTTAACGCCCATAGTAGCATAGTCTGAATTGTCAGCAGGCAAGTAAACTTACCTTGAGCTGTCAACGTCTTATTGTGAGTTGTCAAGGATGATTTGTCAATAGTCAAGCAATGGTATTGTCATTTCCAACAGTCAAATTATCACAAGAGTGTCAATAGTCAAGTAGTCATGGTATGAGTTGTCAGCAGTCAAACTGTCACAGTAAGATTTCAGCTGTCAAGTTGTCATGAGTTATCAGGTCAGGTTGTCACGGCATGAACAGTCAAACGTCAAAACGTCTTAAATGAGATATCATGTCCATTTCCCAATAATTAAGCTGTCATGTCATGAGTTGTCAACAGTCAGTTAAATTAATATGATCTGTCAATAGTCAAATTGTCATAGTATCTGTTGTCAACCATCTAGTCGCCACAACATGAGTAGTTAACAGTCAGGCTCCGTTAGGAAAAGCTGTCAAGAGTCAGACTGTCACAGCATGATCTGTCAACATTCAAGTTGTCACAGAATGAGTAGTCAATAGTCAAGTTTCCAACAGTAAGCTGTCAGGTGTCATGTCAAAGTATCAGTTGTCAGTCAGATTCAAAGTGAGATTTGTCAAGAGTCAGGTCACAGTAAGAGTTGTCAAGAGTCAAGATCAGAGTAAGAGTTTCAATAGTTTGTCATGAGTTGTCAGTCAAATTGTCACAGTAGAGTTTCAGTAGTCAAGTTGCCATGCAATGTCAGCAGTCAAGTTGTCATGAAATGTCAGCAGTCAAGTTGTCATGAAATGTCAGCAGTCAAGTTGTCATGAAATGTCAGCAGTCAAGTTGTCATGAAATGTCAGCAGTCAAGTTGTCATGAAATGTCAGCAGTCAGATTGTCACAGCTCAAATGTCTTAAATGAGCTTCTAACAGTTCAGTTGTCAACAGTCTACTTATCACAGTTTGTGTTGTCAACTATTAAGGTAAACATTTCAACAGTCAAATTGTTATGTCAACTGTCAAAGTCTTACAGAAACAGTCAGTTCATGTCAGTTGCCAGTCGTCAAATTGTCACAGAATTTCGACTGTCAAGTTATCGTCAGATGTCAACTGTTAAATGGTCATAATCAGTTTGAACAGTTAAGTTTTCGTGAGCTGTCATCTAACTGTCAGATTGTCACTGTCGAATTTAAATAGCCAAGTTGTCCAGCACTGTCAACCGTCAAATTGCTTTCGTAATAACGTTAGCCTGAGTACCCAACTGTCAATTTGTCGCAGTGAGAGTTTCGGTCAAATTGGCGTGACTAGTTAGCAGTCAAACCGACACAGTAGAGTTTTAACAGTCAAGTTTTCATGAGATGTCAGCAGTTAGGTTGTCACATTAAGTTTCAACAGTGGTGTTATCATGAGTTGTCAGCTGTCAAGTTGTCACAATAAGAGTTTTAAGAGCCACCAACTGCCACAGTAAGCGGTCCATCTGGCTTATTGTTACAGCATAGGTTGCCATGTGATGGCAACTCATATTGTCACATTGTTTCAACAGTCAGGTTGTCATGAGTTGTCAGAGTTGTTAATCAAGTTGCCATGAGTTGTCAGCAGTCTAGTTGTCAGAGTTGTTAGTCAAGTTGCCATGAGTTGTCAGCAGTCTAGTTGTCAGAGTTGTCAGAGTTGTTAGTCAAGATGCCATGAGTTGTCAGCAGTCTAGTTGTCAGAGTTGTTAGTCAAGTTGCCATGAGTTGTCAGCAGTCTAGTTGTCAGAGTTGTTAGTCAAGATGCCATGAGTTGTCAGCAGTCTAGTTGTCAGAGTTGTTAGTCAAGTTGCCATGAGTTGTCAGCAGTCTAGTTGTCAGAGTTGTTAGTCAAGTTGCCATGAGTTGTCAGCAGTCTAGTTGTCATGAGTTGTCAGAGTTGTTAGTCAAGATGCCATGAGTTGTCAGCAGTCTAGTTATCAACAGGTTGCCAAGGCGTGAGTAGTCTACAGTCAAAACGAAGTAGAAGCAGTAAGGTTGTCAACAGTAAATGATCTGTCAATGAGTTTACAACAGTTGGGCTGTCATGGTATGAGTTGTCAACAGTCAAGAGTTCCCAATCAGCTTTAAAGATGTCTTATCACGAGCCGTTGACAGTCAGATTGTCATAGCATCTATTGTCAATTATTGCCTTGTCATGAACATTCAAGTATTTAGTTGCATAACTTTCCAATGACATGCTAGCATAAGCATGGTTTGTCAAAAGTCAAGCTGTAACAAAAAGAGTTGTCAAGAGTCAAACTACGTGACAATGAACTGTCAACTGTCAAGCTGTCATGGTGTGATATTTGAGCAGACAAAATGTCTCGATGGGCTGTCAACGCTCAGTCTGTCACTATGAGCTGTCAGTGGCAAAACCTCTGACATTATGACTTGACACCAATTAGTCTGTCATGTTGCCATTAGTCCATTGGTCCTGAGGTGCCTTGTGGTGTCAATTGGCGGCGGTCAAGTAGCCTTGGTGGCTCTTACTGATAAGCAGGTCATGTCTGTGGGGTGTCAAGTCCTAGATGATCGAACTAGTAAGCTGTCAAGTCCTAGATGGTCGAACTAGTAAGCTGTCAAGTCTAGAACTAGTAAGCTGTCAAGTCCTAGATGGTCGAACTAGTAAGCTGTCAAGTCCTAGATGGTCGAACTAGTAAGCTGTCAAGTAATGGTCGAACTAGTAAGCTGTCAAGTCCTAGATGGTCGAACTAGTAAGCTGTCAAGTTCTAGATGGTCGAACTAGAAAGCTGTCAAGTTATAGATTAATGAACTAGTAAGCTGTCAAGTCTAGATGGTTGATATAGTAAGCTTACAATAATTAGATCGAATTAATAAGCTGTCAAATAGTATAAGGTTGAGTTAGTAAGTTGTCAAGTCACAGATGGACGAATCATTAAGCTGTCAAGTCTTAGATGATCGTATTAATATGTCCAGTCCTAGATGGTCGAACTAGTAAGCTGTCAAGTCTGAATGGTAGAAACAGTAAACTGCCAAGTCCAAAATGGTTGAATTAGTAATCTGTCAAGTCACAGATGATCTAATAAGTAAGCTGTCAAGTCTTATATGATTGAATTGATAAGCTGTCAAGATATGGATTAGTAAGCTCTCAAGTCGTAAATGATCGAATGAAACTAGTAAGCTGTCAAGTCCTAGATGGTTAAATTATTAAGCTGTCAAGTCATGAATGGTGCAATCGTTAAGTTGTCAAGTCTTAGCTGATCGTATTAATAAGCTGCCAAGTCTTAGATGGTTGAACTAGGACGCTGTCAAGTCTTGGGTAGTCGAATTAGAAGCTGTCAAGTTATAGATTAATGAATAGTAAGCTGTCAAGTCCTAGATGGTCGAACTAGTTAGCTGTAAAGTCAAGATGGTTAAATTAGTAAGATGTCAAGTCTAGATGGTCGAATCGATCTAGTAAGCTGTCAAGTCATAGATAATCGAATCAAGTTGTCAAGTCTTAGCTGATCAAGTCCTAGCGAGTAAGCTGTCAAGTCCTAGATGGTCGAGTAAGCTGTCAAGTAGTTAGAAAGGAAAACTAGTAAGCTGTCAAGTCCTAGATGGTCGAACTAATAACTGTCAAGTCCTAGATGGTCGAACTGGTAAGCTGTCAAGTCTAGATGGTCGAACTAGTAAGCTGTCAAGTCTAGATGGTCGAACTAGTAAGCTGTCAAGTCCTAGATGGTCGAACTAAGTGTCAAGTCCTAGATGGTCGAACTAAGTAAGCTGTCAAGTCTAGATGGTCGAACTAGTAAGCTGTCAAGTCCTAAACTAGTAAGCTGTCAAGTCCTAGATGGTCGAACTAGTAAGCTGTCAAGTCCTAGATGGTCGAACTAGTAAGTGTCAAGTGTCAAGTCCTGGTAGAGGTCGAAACTGGTCGAACTGGTAAGCTGTCAAGTCCTACATGGTCGAACTGGTAAGCTGTCAAGTCCTACATGGTCCGAAACTAGTAGGCTGTCCCAAGTCTTGGATGGTCAAATTAGTCAGGATTATCGATGGCGAACTAGTAAATGGCTGCAAAGTCTTAGATAGTCGAACTACAAACACACACGCGATATAAGAGTGTATGCAGCATCAAGATGCGGCGATTAAGCGGAGTAGGCGATTGTTAGGTTTCGCGAATGATTAGCACTTAGACACAGAGATGAGTATATCCTCGGGAATCTGGCAACTGTCAAAGACCTATAGCGCTAGGATCTGGTAAACGGAGATTGAGTACTCTTAGGAGTGAGATCCACAGTATGTGCGGACCGACTCGGTGGTGAGATTCTGGTGCGATTTGAGTGTGGAGAGGAGCCGACGCGTACTGGGCCTCAGATACCCGACATCACATTTAAGTGACGTCGTGACTATTAGCTCCTATATAATGGTCTGCAACTATAATGCACGTGACGTGATATTGTGAGTGCGCGAGAGAGGTCTGCACCCACGACTAAGTGGTAAAGGGCTGCAAATCTTGGGAAGGGGATTTAATTAGGTAACGCGCTGAGTAACGGTGTCGCTAGTATATAGATCCTCACTAGCGTCTGTGCACACACTATACTATGATGTCACGGGCTGATGTGAACGCGCGTGATAATTCACGAGAAAGAGGTGGCCAGAGATAGTTGGGTATGAATGTGGGAGCAACGACATGAAGTGATAGAGAGACTAGCTCCGCCGCATATATTCGCGTATAGAGAAAGATGAATCTATGCAGCAGTGTTATGAAGGTTAAAAAGTATTGGCAGAGAAGTCCTCACGACGCACACGTGGACGAGTTTCAGTGCAGGATAAAAGGGATGTGGCTTGATTATATGACAGTCGTATTGTATATATACTATGCCTAGCGTATTGGCAGTGATGAGGGATAAACGGATATCGGCAGTGAGTTGCCAGTAACCGCGTCCCTATCGGATGCATTTCACTCTGAGTACGAGTGAGCCTAAGCAAAGGCTCGGAGAGGAGAGGTAGTACGTAGCCCTATTCTGGAGGAGCTTAGCCTGTATGCCCCAGTGTGTACACCCATTAGCTGTACGCAGCATCGACAAATGACATATAATGATAACTATTATAGCAAGAGCTGTTAGGTATATTGTATGCTCGCTCAGTCGAAGGATGAGAATGAGAGAGTCGAGCGTTAGAGAGTTCATGAGAGAGCATAGCGAAGCGACACGCAGTGTGAAGCTGTGTTTGAGAGAGAGAGACGAAGAGACCACATGACGTGTAGCACTTTAGCTACAGGCATGCGTTCAGTACGGAGATCGTATGAGTTGTGGCTTATCCGCTGCTACACGAGGGATAGATGCACCTTGCGTAAGATTACGTATCTCTATGATTCACCTATGCTATTGTTCATTTATAATTGAGCCCCACGGCGGAGAGCGTTAACGAAGAGGCAATGAGCGTATCGCCGAGCATTGCAGCAGAGTAGAGCGCTCACTAGTGAATTGAGTCGGACGGCTGCTACGAAGGGCGCCGAGATAAGTGCAGGTATGTAGAGCATTTACACGTCTCACAGTGTGCGGCCTAAGTGCAACTGAGTACACCACTGTTGGAGTCGCGAGATATATTGGAACGTATACGACATTGCGATGGGTGGAGGACCCCATGTGAGACAGTGCATCTGCCGGCAACAGCGTACGGTTTTACATCGGGGTTCATACCCAAGGGCAGTCGGGGTGGTATCGACCGATCAGCGAGAGCTGCATAATAAGTTCTGACGTTAGATCCTAGAGAGAGTATCATGTAAGAGCGATATGCGAGCGAGTGCGGTGATAGTATTGAGAGTGACATAGTGTACGCCGTTCCTTACTTGGGTCATATTTCCCCCAATCGGGGCTGGCTGAAAATAATTTATTACAATATTAAGGGGGTCTATAAAACATTCGGTGTCACTTATAAAGCTCAGCAGACCACGCGGTAGAAGATCGAGTCGCCAGTAGTCACAGGAGATTATCTCGATATGGATTAGAGGATGGTATGGGTAGAGAGATATAACACCCACCTGAGCACAGAGCCTGTAAAATTAGTAAACTCAGTCAATTCCACTACATGAGTCCAATAGTCACCGGGGCTATCTGGCTTTCACCGGGTAGAGTCCCAAAATAGTAAATAATTGACACTACAATCAAGTTCAATAATAAAAAATAAAAATAAAAAGCAGTCTCTCTAATTCAAAAAATTATCCCTCTTAAATTGAATATTAAGTTATAAAGGGGGGGAGCGAAATATCACTACCTGAAGTCTAAGTCAGCATAGTATAGATCGGGGAAAGTAGCATCTAAACCCACGCAATCGAGAGCGTGACGAAGAGAATATGGCGACGCCCACTCGGCGTCGAGATGTAATCGGTGTGTGAGTGTGAAGCTCTGAGGCAGCGAGAGGATGCCTGAGGAGTACTAATCAGACTTCGAGATGTAGAGGCACATATGAACTGTCACTGATCGCGGGGTTGTAGGACCCGGGATATTCCGCGTCCATGAGTTAGTCTCGTGTGGCGATGGATATTCTATAGGGCACGTACAATAATAAGGGTCGGGGGTATACTGGGTCATCGTATACTGTCAGTGTCAAGTAACAGTCTGGTCGTTAGTCATAAGCATAGCTTATGAGATACTAGGTAGGAGACGCGTGGATGAGACTGTCGGCGCCGGAGAGGGTTGACAGCAGCCCAAACTTTGGGTCAAAAGTGAATCGGTCAAACATAGTATTGAAGAAAACGGGGCCACTGGGGGTCAGGTGGTCATGAAGAAAATGTCACCGGCAGGTCTGTCATGACACTGTAAGAAAGGCTGTCACAGTTAAAAGTCTGATGGTCCAGTCTATTGTCACTGTCATTAAGCTGAATTTCAGTATTACCAGTCTGGTAATTGGCAGTTACCGAGGGTTTCAGACTGTCGCTTGTCCAGTCATGATTCAAAAATGTTTCGCTGAAAGAGCTGTCATTTGTCAAATTCAGTGTCAGGGTCGGATTGTCAGCTGTCACTGTCAGTTGTTGCGACTGATATGATGGTGATTCTTCAAAAAGTATGTCTCACTACAATTGTCTGTCGGACGAACGTTATTTATTGTAGAAAGTTGGTCGGTCGGTGGGTCGCTATTGAAAAAATAAAAATAATTTTCCTCTACAAGAACGTTTTCTCGTCCTTTCTCTACACAATCTATCGACGAGCTGTAAGTCTTATATATTTTGGTCGTCATTGTCATATCAGGACAACTGCGATGGTCATTATCACATTTCGTCTGATTTTGGTGACCTGTCTAACTGTCAATCATGTCATGGGAGTGATGATGAACTGTCCATGAGTAAGGTTTGGTGAGACGTTGCTAAAATGAAGGCAGTCACTAGTCTTATTCACGTTAAAAAGTCAAATCGTGAGTCAGGAGAGTCACAGTCCATTAGTCTTATGAGTCTTCTCCGTTAGCCAGCTATCACGGTCATTAAAGCTACGAGAGCAAAGTTATTATTAGAGATTAAGACGCTTCGTCACTGTACAGAATAATGTCGTTGTAGTAAATTGTCACTATACAGTCTCTAAAATTGGGCTGTCAGAGTCATAAACGAGAGAACAATCTGTCGCTGTCATTTGGTCCGTAACGAGGTAGTCATCCCAATCAAATTTCTAGTGAAGAGTCGTCACTAGCAAGAAAGTGAACGGTGTCATTATCGTCTGCCATTTCCTCGCCCTCTTCATCACCGTCATCATGTCACCATTAGAAGTCGCTGGTTAGAAAGTTCGTGTTAGATATAGAGAGATTCGTTGGCAGATAACTTTCTCGTGATGGGAGGTCGTGGTTCAGTCTGTTACGCTGTCGTTATGGCTCTTTGAGAAATGAGAAAATGTGGGCTGTCAAATCTGGGGAGATGTCATATTATAACGTATTTTAGGCCGTTCGTTAAAAATGTCACTGTCAAGCGTCACTTTCAGGTCTTTTGTCATTGCCGTTGTCAAGGGATTTGCGAGGCTCTCATCACCAAATGGCTGGTCCTTCTTCAGAATGTCTTTCAGTTTTACTAATGTTCTTATCGTCAGTTGTCACCACCAAACGTCTTAACTTGATATGTCAATCTTTAACTTGCAAGGGAGATGTCACTGTCAAGTCACTATTTCATAACAAGTTTGTCACTGTCAGAGACACATTTACACCGTCACTCTTACTATCGAGTTTTGTCAATTATGAAGTTATAATGTCCTGTCATAAAGAGTTATATAGGTCCTGAAAATGTCAAGTCCCTTAATGATGTCTATTAAGTCATGCGAGAAACGTAACGAATACTTGCACGTTGCATAAATTGTCACCATCAAGTCTCAACGTAAGAAACTGAACTGAAACATTTTAAATAACGATGTCCGCGTCAGTCAGATGTTAAACCGAGTCGCACTGTCAGCTACCCAACGGTCGTCAGCGAGGGCGTTGTCTATTAACTTAATTATCCGCTGGATATCTAATTACCTAACTGCCGGAAGTCTGGCCTTAATGAGCTGGCGAGTCACGGTGAATGGTAATGGGTCGAATCGTGGGAAAAGGAATTGAAGTAAACGAAGTTGACACAGTTTAAAAGGGGGGATAAAATTCTATTGGATGAAAAAAAATCGCTAGCTAAATTTATCATAAAAAAAAACCTTAACCCGAAGCAAATTGTTATCTCTTCAAGTAATATATGTAATGCTGGCTGATTTAGCGGAATAAAATACCATACAGGGTAATCTATCGAAAAAAAAAATTGTACTTCTAATCATATCTGAACACTCTACGTACACGTCGTTAAGTACAAAATAAATAATATTGTCAGCACTATTTAAACCGTCTATCGTTAGTCCTCTACCAAAAATAGGTCCGTCTATGCCACATCAATCAATAAATAGATTTAGAAATTAAAGCCACTGTCAACACACTGGGAATAAATAGAGTTTAACAGAATCTTGGACTTTGTGCTCCAAACATTGTACCA